TGGCCGGGGCGGAGCTCTCCGAGGGTCCGGACCTGGGTGTGAGGTGCGGACAGGATTCGGGGCTGCGGCAGAACCCACGCTCCCAGGCGGCTTTGCCTGGAGCAGCGGGAAGTTCTAGGACGCGAGCAGGGGAGCGTCTCCCTGTCCTGGCGTTAAAATATTTGGGTTCTAGGGCGAGGACGACCGCAAAGGAGCCAGGGGAGCAGGAAGATAAAGGGAGTTGTGGGTTTGGTCACCAGTGTTGGCAACTGTGGGAGTGGGCGGAGAGGAGGCTCCGGGCAACTGGCATCACACTTTAGCGGAGAACAGCGCGGCTGAGGAAGGAAGGTCTGAGCGCTTGGATCCAGGAGGGAGGTGGTGTGCCTGTGTGGCTGGCAGACAAGCCAAATTCAAACACCTATATCTAATATAGGAGCACAGTACTAAAGATCAGGGGAAAACAAAACAGACTAATCTTCACTGGTTAAAAATAATTTCTCTGGCAGTGTAACTCGGGAAAATATGGAACAAACGTGTATGAAACAGTATCCAACATTTAGTAGAAACCTACGTAGAGGCAGGAGAAAACAGTGTGCCTTGGTTTCCCTCACATGTATGTGAAGCTAATCGAGGACTTGGAAATCCCAGGGCAGTCTGAACCCTGATGATTCCCTGTGGTTCCTCATCCCAAAGCAAAGGTCTCATAGATAGCAGATAGTTTGCCACGGGTCATCTAGATGTTTCACCACTGCGATCCAAAATAAAAACTCAGTAGTAATAAGAATACAGTGAAATATCAAGCTTCATAAACGAAAACTTCCATCCCCCGTAGAGAGCTAGTAATGCATCAGTCTCCTCCTAGCCCATAATATTTGGTAATATGGACAGATGTATCCATTTCAAAATGAATGCCTTGCTTAGATCATTTTCTGGTTAAAAAAATAAATAAAACAGAACATTGCTAGCAGAAGTTTCAAAGCATTTAGCATAGAGATGAAAGGTGACCTTACTTCCTCAGTGCTTTTCCTGTTTCCCAATAGGGGCACTATCCCTATCCAAATAGCCCAGCTGAAATTCGCTTTGGTCTTCCTTAACTGTGCTAATTCTATTCCTTCCCTTACAGTGTCTGTTACCCAATTACACCCACTTGCTAGTTGCAATTCTTCTGACTATTGAATTTCTTAACATCTTGGTGTTAGATGCTTAAATTCCTCTGTAAATACCTGTCGATTTTCTTAAGCTAGTATGCACTAATGCAGCACAACCTTTACATTATTTTATGCTTAGTATTTCAGCTGACTGACTCTTGTTCTCTATTTGAAGTCCCTTCAACTCATAAGTAGAACTCAGTCCCCTTTTTAAGTGCTGTATCTATGTTTGAAGTGAACTTTTAACAGTTGAACCCACATAGAGTCTTATCTCCTCTACTGGGACTCATCCCAAAGCCAAGGTCTTCCTTTGGCTTCCTGAAACAGTGTCTTACCTCTGCATTGTCCCTCTACCTGGCCCAGGATGGAGGAAGACCCATGGCCTCCACCTTCTTGATGGAGACTAGAGTTGTGGGGAAGAGAAATTAGATCTAGAGATGTCTACATTTTCAGCAGAGAGGAACCTAGGAATTGGTTTCTATAGATACAGCAAATATGCAGACCAGTTTTCAGAACAAAATATGCAGATAGGGTGATTTTATTGTGTAGATTCAAAATATCCTGTGATGGAAGCACTAGAAGGATCAGAGAGAATTAGTGCACGAATAGCTGCCAGACAAATATTTTAGCTGCCAACCAATCATTACATTTTCAGATTTCTTAACATCAATATGATCATTTTCACTTTGCAGGTCAAGGTCCAGACATCGTGGCCTGTTGTGTTCTGCTCCATTTGTTTGTGCTGAAGCTGTAGGGGGGCAGCTTGCCTCACAGCATTCTCAGATGAGCTTTCAGGCTAATTCATTTTGAACAGGCATCTTCTCACTGTTGTGAAATGTAAGTGCATTGAAAACAATCCAAATCACTGGCAGAAAGGGTGGTAGGTAAATGGCACTATTAAAAATAAAGAGTCTTGTTTTCTGTGACCTAAAAACAGATAGCTCCAATTATTGTTCATTCTAAACATGAAGCTGGAACAAAGTTAGTTAATTATAAATAATGCATCCAACCATAGAAGGAATGAGCTATACGCTATGTTATTGTACATTAAAAATCTTTATGAGCGTGGCAAGAGACACATATACCAACAGCTGCTAAATTCGGAATACTGGAGCAGTATCTCACTTTAATGGAAGTGAAGAACAGCACAGTCTGTTGCTCTGGGGATTTCTTTCTATGTAAAAGATTCTTAAATCTACTTGAGATTTTACACAGTGATTTTAAAGCACTTATGAAGATTTGTTTTCTTTATTTGAATATCTTTCACACTATCTTCAGCCATTAAACTTAGAACAAGCAGTGCTTTCCAGAACAGCCCTCCCCGTACAGAAGCCTTTCTCCTTCCTAGCATCCCCCTTTCCATTCATCCCTCTCCCCTTCTTTGTCTCTGTTCCTCCCTCCCCACATCTTTCCCTCCCTGCCGACCTCTTTCTTGCTTTCCTTTCTTTTACTTCCCTTCCCCAGCCTTCTCTTTCTTTGATTATTTTTTTCTTTTTCAATTATTCCGTGACCATTTCAGAGCCTGGCTCTTTGTTTTTACTGTGCATTTAAAGTTGAATGTGAATATCCCCCCCGCTTTTTACAGTAGAAGAGAATAAGTCTTACAGGTCAAAAGTGGGTTGCTGAATTCTGAACAGAATCTCAAGGTCTTTTACTCTTCTTGTGTTGCGTCTCTTGTTACCACACAACCATTGTACAGGCTATGTATTCAAGTGCCTTAATTAAAGTGACACTTAAGACTGGAGAGCTGGCCAAATTTTACAGAGAATTTCTGCAAAAATGATATGTCCTAAGATAGGCAAATTCAAGTTATGGGTCTTATAAGTTAAATATTACATGGTTTTATAAAAAAATGCAAGCAAGCTAGATAATATAAGAAGTCCTTGGGCTGAATTCTTTGTCTATGATCTGCCATTCTAGAAAACTCTTAATAATTGAGGCAAAATATTTAAAAACCAATTGTGCATTCATTCAGCAGCTGCCCATGACCAGATCCCAAATTCATGGACTTGCACAAAAAACAAACATTTGAATCTGGGGATGCCTGTGTTACTTTTTTCTTAGCATAGCCCTTGATAAGGCTTTGACTGTGAGAGTTCAGATACAGATTTCTTGAGCCACTTGACAGGGCCAGATGTATATTTGATTGGTCCACTAGAAATGTTAAGGAGTTTAAGGATATAGTAGCTGTGACTGTTTAGAAGCAGACTCCAAATGTAAGCTGCAAATTTTATTGCACAATTGTCCAGCAGTAATAGGCCACAGAAATAATAAAGACAAAGCCACAGATTTAAGGAAGGCAATAGAATCTGGAAATACTCTTGTTGCTGTTGCTTTGAATACAAAACATCTCAAAATGACAGGGCTTTTGCCTGCAGAGTTACTAATGAAGATGTGGCTGAGAGTGTTTCTTGAGTTTGTTTATCCAGCTGTAGGAGAGTCAATATAACAATAACTGGATTTATAAAATTTTTTTAAAATACCACATTTTAAGGGCCTGAGTTCAATCCTGGGTACAAAAAAAAAAAATCACATTTTAAGGAAAAGTGTTTCCCCACAAGTGCACTAAGCCTTTGTACTCATAAATGAGAATTTTTTTTTTGTCACTGTAGCTGCTTACATACACTTTCACTTTTGCTGCAAAAAAGAAAACTTTAACCAAAAAAAAAACTTGCAGAGGGATCATTAGATGGCCTTTCCGGGGCTCCCCCAACCCTATTTTCCCTGTTCCTCTCCACTAACAATAGCATTTCTCAATAGATAGCACTTTTATCTTTCAGGGAACATTTGAAAATCTCCAGAGAAATTTTGATTATCAGCAGTTGTTACAGTTTATATCTGTATATCTCCCAAGAGCCTCATGTGTTCATCAGACAGGGCTTTTAAAAGGTGATTAAGGGCTGGGGATTTAGCTCAGTGATTCTGCTTCCTGCCATTTCAAGTGCAAGGACTGGTATTTGATTCTCAGTATGAGAGAGAGAGAGAGAGAGAGAGAGAGAGAGAGAGAGAGAGAGAGAAGCAATTAAATTGCAGAGCTGACGTTAGCAGGTAGGGGTGGAGTTGGAAAAGCTGGGTGCTGGAGTTGTGACCTAGAGGCTGTATCTTCCTCCCCACCTGGCTCCCTTCACTCTGCTTCATGGTCACTGACATGAAGTGAGCAGCTTTCTTGTGCCCAGGTATTTCCCCTGTCTTTTTCCTCTTGGAACCAGCTGACCATGAGCTGAAAATCTGAGCCAAAATAAACCTCTACTCCTTCCAGTTTTAAGTGTCAGATGTTGTGTCCTAATGACAACAAGAAAGTGATGAAGACACCAGAGTCTGATCCGGCGACAGTACTCCTGGCATTTATAGCACAGGCCAGATATGTTATAGATCATCCCACAAGGCACAGGACT